ACACGGTTTCCATTTTGTCTCTTCCTAGGGGATGTTTGTTCTGGGCCTGCCCTATGCCATCCTTCACGGTGGATACCTAGGACTCTTTTTAATCATTTTCGCCGCCGTGGTTTGCTGCTACACTGGGAAAATCCTCATTGCCTGTCTGTATGAAGAGAATGAGGACGGGGAGATAGTGAGGGTGAGAGACTCCTACGTGGACATCGCCAACGCGTGCTGCGCGCCTCGCTTCCCCACCCTGGGGGGCAGGGTGGTGAACGTGGCTCAGATCATTGAACTGGTCATGACCTGCATCCTCTACGTGGTGGTGAGTGGGAACCTGATGTACAACAGCTTCCCCAACCTGCCCGTCTCCCAGAAGTCGTGGTCCATCATCGCCACGGCGGTGCTGCTGCCTTGCGCGTTCCTGAAGAACCTCAAGGCCGTCTCCAAGTTCAGCTTGCTCTGCACGTTGGCCCACTTTGTGATCAACATCTTGGTGATCGCCTACTGCCTCTCCAGGGCACGCGACTGGGCCTGGGACAAAGTCAAGTTCTACATCGACGTGAAGAAGTTTCCCATCTCCATTGGCATCATCGTCTTCAGCTACACCTCTCAGATCTTTCTGCCTTCCTTGGAGGGGAACATGCAGAACCCCAAGGAGTTTCACTGCATGATGAACTGGACTCACATAGCAGCTTGCATCCTGAAGGGACTCTTTGCCTTGGTCGCCTATCTGACCTGGGCGGATGAGACCAAGGAAGTCATTACAGACAACTTGCCATCCACCATTAGGGCAGTAGTCAACATTTTCTTGGTGGCCAAAGCCTTGCTCTCCTACCCTTTGCCGTTCTTTGCGGCGGTGGAAGTCCTGGAGAGGTCCCTTTTCCAAGATGGCAACAGGGCCTTCTTCCCCAACTGCTACGGGGGTGACGGGCGCCTCAAATCCTGGGGACTCACCCTCAGATGTGCCCTGGTCGTCTTCACCTTGCTCATGGCTATCTACGTCCCTCATTTCGCCCTCTTGATGGGTCTGACGGGGAGCCTCACGGGCGCAGGGCTCTGTTTCCTGCTCCCCAGTCTTTTCCACCTCAAACTCTTGTGGAGGAAGCTCTTGTGGCACCACGTCTTCTTCGACGTCGCCATCTTCGTTATAGGTGGTATCTGCAGCGTCTCTGGGTTCATCCACTCTTTAGAAGGCCTCATAGAAGCCTTCAGAACCAACGCTGAAGACTAAGGAGGGGCCAGAGCTGGCTGCAGCAAGAGAATCGCATCGAACATCCGCATAGCCAAACGAGTCTGCATCCCTTTCCTGGAGAGAGTCATTCTTTTCCTTACGTGCATCCACCAAATTCTACGTCACAGAAGCTGCCAATGAAAGGAAATCAGAAGAGATAAAAGCATTCGTCCTGCTGTCTTTTTAAACAAGCTAAGATTCAAATATATTTTTCTGTTATTGAGAATTTTTGGAAGGAAATGATGCGTTCCCCCCCCCCCCCCCCGATC